AGAAAAAAAAAAAAAAAAAGAGGGGGTATAAAAAGAAGAAAGAAAAAAGTAATGGTTGTTATAGGCATGTGGACCAATACCGAACCAGGGTCACCAAGTATGAGCATCGAGGACTCAGGATCAGAGATAACGGAGGTGGGAATGAACAAGGAAAGAGAGGGGACACGGATGGAGGACAGGGAAAGGGAGCAGGAAAGGAGAGAGGAAGGAGAAGGGGAAAAGGATAGGGCAAGAAGGAGTACACTGGCCCTGCGGTTAGAGGACAGGGAGGTGACAAGAGAGGCCGGAAATTATATATTTGATAATTTTTTGAGAAGCTCCATTAAGGCTAGGAGGAAGTTTGCTTTGGTGAGATGGGGGATGAAAGGGGGGGGGGGTGCTGTTCACCACCAAATGTGAAAAAACGATGAAGCTGATGGAAGAAGAGATAGAGAGGGGATTAAAATGGAGGGGGTCACGGGTAATAAGTTGCCCAGCGGAGGACCTGGAGAGAAAGAGTATGGCTACAGTGTGGTGCAGCCATAGCACCATGCTATTTAAGGACTTAGTAGAAGTCCTGAAATTGGAGCATCCGGAACTGAGGGCAGGGGATTGGACCCTATGGAAAGAGACCGACCCGGAGGAGAGAGGAAGGGAATTTACGGTTAAAATAAGACCGCAATCGGCGCAGGGAATAAGAAGAATGAACGGGAAGATAAGAATATGCGGAGGAGTAGTAAGATTAGTATGTAAAATATTATAAGAAATAAGATATTTAAGAGCATTAAGATAAGCATAGGATAAGTTAGGAATAAGATATAAGTAAGTTAGATATAAGGTTATTATATAAATAATAAAAGAAGAGGAAATATATATACATAGATAATAATATAGATAAGGACTGGACGCACGATAGTAAATAATGGAATAATGGATAAGAGACGGTAGACTTTGTAAGATAGGAATAAACATAATAATGTTAAGAATAGAAATAAGAAATGTATTAGGATAAAAAGAAGAACACGGAACAAATAAATATAAATTGTATACAAGGGGGGAGTGATGATTTAAGGACATACCCTCGGAACGAATAAATCGCGATTCCCAGACAAAGGAGAATGGGAGAAATAAAAGGGGATGAGGGATATGAGATATTGTGATAAGGGGGTATAAATACTGAAGTATTCCAATACAAGGTGAGAGGATGGACACAACGGGAATTAAATAATGGGTATAAGGAATAACAGGAGGTATTAAGGTGAGAAAAGGGAAATATATAGGAATAGCTCAAAATTAGGAACAAGGAGATAGGAATTTAGGGGGGAATTATATATGAAGAAGGATTTTTTGGTTTTCAGGTCTATAAGATGAAGGTGGTGCAAATAAACTTACACCATGCGGTAGCGGCGGCGCAAATACTAACGAAATATATGAGGCAGAACAGTGTGGCCATAGCGCTCGTACAGGAGCCCTACGTTGCACACCACGCGGTCAAAGGACTTAGTATGGCGGGGAAAGTTTACGCGGTACAAGCGAGTAAGGACCTTAGGACTTGCGTGGTGTGTAGGGGGAATCTGGTGGTCACATTTCTGCCTCAATTTAGCTCAAATAATCTAACGGTAATTGCGTTAAAAATGAAAAGTGCAATTCAAGAAGAGGATTTAGAAATAGTACTAGCAGCAGGATATCTCCCCTGGAACTCAGACAGGGATATTCCAGGGGAAGATATAGTGCGATTGGTGGGGTGGTGTGAGTACAGGAAGACCCCACTACTAATGGGATTGGATGCAAATGCAAGGAACACCATATGGGGAAGTTCGGATACAAATGACAGGGGAAGAGATCTCATGGATTTCATTATCCAGCAAGGACTGACGATATATAATAGAGGGAGATCACCCACTTTTCAGACGACGGAACGAGCAGAGGTGTTAGATATAACACTGGGGAACAGACAAATGGAAGAAGAGGTGTCTGAATGGAAAGTATCTAATGAGGTCACGATGTCGGACCACAGATACATTACATTCCAGTTAAGCGGACAAGGGATGACGGAAATATATCCAGTAAGAAATCCGAGGAAAACGGAATGGATAGAATTTCGAACGAAATTGGACGAAAAATTAACGGAGCTACCGAGGAAATACGGAAACCAGGAAGAACTGGACAACTATGCAAAGGAATTCACTAGGATTACGATGGAGAGCTGGGAAGCGGCAACGGAGGCGAAACCAAGAGATGAGCGAAATAAGGTGCCATGGTGGACAAAGGAGCTGTCAAGAGAGGTAAGGCACGTAAAGTACCTAGCTAGGAGGGCCCATAGGAAGAACGGGCTATGGCATGATAGAAATCAGTTGCGTATAGCAAGAAACGCACTGAAGAGAAATCTGTACAAAGCAAAAACAAAGGCATGGAGGAAATTCTGCGCCTCTATAGACAAAATATCGAATGCGGCAAAAATTAGCCACATTTTAATGAATGCAACCCCAAGACAATTGGGAGCATTGAAAAAAGGGAGTGGGGAATATACGGAGGATGATGGAGAAATTCTGGGAGAGTTACTGAAAGCACACTTCCCGGGTTTCTCCCTCCATCCCCACCAATTAGTGGAGGCAGACCCAGTACAAGAGATGGGGGCACACTGGGCATTAGCTAATATAATAGTATCACCTCATAAATTACGTGAGGCTGTAGGTTCTTTCAGTCCATACAAGGCGCCAGGGCCGGACGGGGTATACCCTATAATACTGAAGAAAATGTTCCCGATAGGGGAGCAAGCTCTGTTGAAGCTTATAAGAGCATCATTCGCCACAGGACTTATACCAGAGGGATGGATGGCCACCAAAGTGATATTTCTACCTAAACCTGGGAAATCAGACTATACAACACCCAAGGCCTTCAGGCCCATTAGTCTGACTTCCTTCACATTGAAGACAGCTGAGAAATTATTGGATAGATATATCAAAGAATATGTCTTCCCAATTAATCCATTACACGAAAGGCAGCACGCTTTTCGAACCGGCCACTCGGTCGTAACAGCATTGCACAACGTAACGTTGGCAATCGAAAAAGCTTTAAAGGTGAAATATTACACCATTGGATGCTTCCTAGATATCGAGGGAGCATTTAATATGACATCCGTGGACGTATTGGTAACGGCCATGGATGAATTCAACCTACACCCGAGGATAAAGATGTGGATAACGAGTATGTTAACCAAAAGAAGGTTGGTGGCGTCGAGAGGAAGCCAATCAGTATCGGGGTACGTAAATAAAGGATGCCCACAGGGAGGGATCTTATCCCCACTGTTGTGGTGTCTAGCGATCAACTCATTACTACATGCGCTGGAAGGATGTGGGGTGACCATCTCAGCATATGCGGACGATGTGGTCTTTTTAGCAATCAGCAACGACATACACGAAGCGTATGATAAAGCCCAGGAAGCACTGGAGATTCTGAAGGTATGGTGCGACAGTACGGGATTATCAGTCAACCCGGACAAACTGGAAGTGGTACGTTTTACCAAACGTATAAAGATACCAGCAACGGAACCTCTAAGATATGAGGGAAAGGACCTAAAACTGGTGGATGAGGTAAAGTTTTTAGGAGTCACGTTTACCAAAAAACTACTATGGAGACGGCATGTATTTAACAAAGTAGCATGCGGGAAGAACAATATATATATGGTGAGTAGAGCCATAGGTGGGACATGGGGTTTTTCCCCTCGCATTGCAAATTGGATATATAAGTCCATAGTGGTGCCGAGGGTGACCCATGGGGCAATCGCCTGGTGGCAAGCGGCCAAAATGACTACGGTGAAAAATAAGTTAAACAGCCTCCAAGGGTTGGCGTTAAGGAAAGCGTTGGGTTCGTTGAGTACCACTCCATTGAGGGCAATGGAGGTACTGACGAACACAACTCCGTTGGATATTGTAATTTTAGATATTGCAGTACGGACAGCACATAGATTAAAGTGCTGGAACAGCTGGACGTGGAATAACTACGGACACGCGTCGATAATGCTGAACGAGGCGAACAGAGAGATGAATGAAATGATGGATATGGAACAGGATAGATGCGCCCCAAGCATGATTCCGGAGCAAAAATTTCAGGTAACGATTCCTACTAGAGAACAATGGAAGGGTAATGTATTACTAGCAGGGAATCACATAAATTGGTACACCGATGGATCAGGTAGAAACGATCTGGCGGGAGCTGGATGGACGGATGGGAAGATAGACAGACACTATGCCTGTCTAGGAAGAAATGTAACGGTATTTCAAACAGAAGCGTTCGCAATAATGAAATGTGTAAAATTGTTAATAGACAGGGGCACGAAACAGAAGGAAATAAGAATCTTCACAGACAGTCAGGCGGTGTTACTGAGCATTCAAAAGCTCATGCATACCTCACTGACTACCAAGAGATGTAAGGAACATCTTAACGAGCTGGCATCAAGGGGTAACAAGCTAACACTATGCTGGGTGCCGGGCCACAGAGGTATTCCAGGGAATGAACAAGCGGACAAGCTGGCAAATCTAGGTTCTAGGAGGGCCCCACCGGAAGGGGTACCTCGGCAAGTACCGCTAGCAGAAGCAGTGTTCGCTTTAGGTAGGAAGCGATGGCGCGAGGGAGAAAGGAAGAGGAAATGGGACTCTGCGGAAGGATGCAGGGTAGCCAAAGCTATGATTGGACAGAACCCAGTCTATAAGAATTGGAGGGATTTGATGGATCTTCCGCGTGAAGACACAAGAAGGGTGGCAGGAATCCTAACAGGACATGCCATCCTGAACCATCACCTAACAAGGATGGGGGAACTACAGGAAGAAAGGTGTGAATTCTGTGAGGAGGATGCAGTGGAGACGGCAGAACACATCTTAATGAGATGTCCGGGACTAATGGAGAAGCGTCTCAAAAGATTACGAAAGGCAATTCTGGAAGATGAAGACATTCCCCAATTGACGGTGAAGGGGATACAAGGATTCACTCAGGACGTGGATAGGACCAGACCGAGGGAAGAAGAAGAGGAAGAAGAAGAAATTTGGTGAGACGAAGAGACAAAGAAGACTGAAGAACCCGAAAGGAAGCAGGAAAAGGCGAAGAAGGGAAACAAGAAACGATAATGGAGTAGGTGATGGATCGGGGACGGGGGGGAAACTAACAATTACTCTTCTTTCAGTTATAGATAATATTAGGTACAAGGTCGGTAAAAATAAATATAGGATTAATGGAGGATAAAATATCAATCGGATACAAGTAAGATAATAAAACCAGGATGTAGCAAGGATGGATAAGACAAGGATTGAGGATGGACAAAGATGGAAAAAGATAGAGGAATATGTAATGCGGAGGAAATGAATGTATTGAATGGAATAAAGATATAAATAAAATATAGCGTGTGTAAAATTATTAATACCCAGAGCGTAGAATGTAAGAATGTAAATAATGAACACAAGGAAGTGAGTAAGAGGAGGAGGAGAGTGGGTACGAATATATAGGATAAAAAAAGAGAATAATAATATATAAAATAAGAAAAAAATAAGAACAAACAGAAAGGGAAAGGGGGGAAATAAAGATAGGAAGAGCAGGGGAAAAAAAAGAAAAAAAAAAACCCTCTGCTCCCTAGATTCCCAAACAGGAAAATGAGAAAAAGATTAGGCGAGCGTGTCAAAACAGGATTGAGAAAGAGAGGGAAATAGAAAACCCACACATATAAATAAAATAACAAAACAAACTCCCCACCCTATTAAGCGTAGGAGGAAGAAGATAAGAAAGAAAAAGAGAAGGTAAGTGTACATAATATATTATAATATTACAAACATAGGAAAAGAAAAAAAAAAAAAAATATATATAATAAGTAATTAAAATACATAATAATAATAATAACAAGAATAATAATGATAATAGCAATAATAATAATAATAATAAAAATCGTATCGTAAAAAAGAAAGAAAGAAAAAGAAAAAACAACAACAAAGCAAATGAATAATATAACGAAAATACGCGTATAATCGTTCTCCTAGCGACCCATGGAAGCCTGACCTCGAAAGAGGAAAAAGCACGTCAGGGATACGTAACGGGAATGGAAAGGGTGGAACTACTGTTTGTTCCGAAGCCCGATCCATGCAGACCTTACGTGAGGAGGGAGGGTGTAGAGAGAGAGTATCGGTGACTCTCACTCAGGCACAAAGCTCCCTCTCAGTCCCCCCCCGATCCTGTGAGGATACCCGGTGACACCAACGGGGAACTCGCAAAGGAGAGGGGATAGGATGCTTCAGGCCTACCACCCATTAGCAAGTAAACGTGAATCCGACCCGCAAGAACGGGATGATGAGATACGAGTCGGGAGGGTGACAGCAGACTGAGGGCGTAAGCCTTCCAACATGCTCCCCGTAGACCACTCGTGAAGAGGCACCACGGGGGAAAAGACAGATGGGGAACCCTGTCGACTCCAGCCGCATTTAGCCTCTCGATCTCCGCTGTGATCCCGGGACGACGGAAAACTCTTCTTTAAGAGCCAGTACCCTCCATAGGGATCACAGTGATAGAAATCATAGGATTCACGGAGAACAACGGGCTGGGTGGGTTCCGGGAAGTAGCCTGAGGGTGGTGAGGGCCCGGAACCCGAAGACCGTCCGTGGAGGGGGCAGGCAGATATATTTGTCCAAGGACGGGACAAATAGGCTTGAATTCCCCCTCCGTTCTTGAACTAGTTTAAGATAGGCATCGGGGAGTCCGATCGCGGACGTTGACACGGGTTTGCGTACACCGAGCGCACATTCAAACACCAGCCCGTGCCGACGTTCCGTGGGCAAAGGACACCGATGCCGAGTAGCATACGGGACAGCGGCCAAGGACGCGTGGTCACCAACTGTACCGGGCGGATCTTCGATAAGATGCTAACGGAACAGAGGTAAGAGGTACAAACGCCAGGAGCGCTCATTCGGGCCCGAGGGAAGGGGGGCGATGGCCGTTCCAGGTATTAAACCCTTCGGGGGCCTGGACGTGCCGCCTTAAGTAGAATAAAACGCGTAGGGGCCCGAATGCGATTCCGGACAGTGGGGCGTATACTGGCGAACCGAGTCCCGGAAGCATGAAGAGCATGTCTTTGCGGGATCACGGCCCAACGAGCCCCGCGGTCATCGTATTCCGGAAGGCAGTTCTCACGAACTAGGCGCCGGACGTAGGGTATGGCATTACCGAAAACAGGCCCCATGTGCCGGTAAACATTCGTGACCTCGGAACAAATATGTCGACGGGTCACGAAGGCGTTTGGCACACGCTGCAACGATCCGTGGTACGCCGGAGAGAGAGAGCGTCGACCATTAGGGTGGGGCGCCAGCGACCCAGAACGCGGATGCTGGTTCCTGATGAAACTGATATTCCCTCTTCGGAGGAAATTTCGGCGAAGTCCGGTGGGCCACTGTTCGCGTCGCGTTCCTTGTATACTCTAAGGTGGGGGGAGGGCGCGATCTACTCTACCTCGTTTTCCATTCTACTAAATTCACATACCCCGCTACAGATTTAGATTAGACTCATACTGGCGGCGGATTCATTTATGGTCCGCTGCGGCTCCTAGGGGAGGTGATCGCCGAACCCGACCACGTCTCTCCTTGAGGTCGGCTAGAACGGCCTCCCCATGTATCTCTATCGGAGTCCCGGGACTCTCTCCCTGTCCTTGAGGGGGGTGGTAGATTTGTGAGGGGCATCAGAGGAGGGGGGGTTCCTGAAATATTCGGGACATAGGCAGGTAATACGACAGGGGGTTGAAACAGGCGACACAGCTCTCTCTCGATGATGGAACGTACACAAGCACGATGATTCCACCCCTGGTACAGACTCGGTCTGTGGGTGAAGCAAAGAGTGAGCCGGTACTCACTTTTGGAGACGAAGGATCGGTTGCCCCGACGACCATATTCCATAGCTAAATCACTTAGGTAGGGAAGGGACGATCCTAGTGACTCTCCGCCCCCCGGGCGAGTACTTCCTCGCCTCCATGTGGCCCGGGCCTAAAAAAGTTGGTCGGGTTGGAAAGCCGGGGGAAATATTAGCCCCGGGTAATGCCCACGGCAGTCCCCTCTGCTAACGCGGACGGGGGCTGTTTGATAGCTAACAGGCGCCTTGAGCCACAGCTGGGCCTTGGGGGGGAAATCGCACTTCCCCTCCCCCGGGAGAGACGTACTACTACTACTACTAGGTCTGGGTTAGGACGCAGGAAGGGGAGGAGCGGTCGATACCAGGGGGATGGACCCAAGAGGATACGAACATACTAGAAGACGCAGGAGAGGAAGGAAGCCATAGTGACGGGGAAGATACCATCATATATGCACCAGGAGAGGAAGGGAATGAGGAACCAGCCCCCCAGGATTACAGTCCCATTACCTCCCCGATCAGTGATTGGGAGGAGGAGATGGGGGAAGAGGAGAATCATTTACCCCTCCTGAATGAAAGGGAGGGGGTAAGGGTTCGATGGGAGGATGAAGGGGACGCAGAAGAGTGGAGGAACATGATGTCGGGCCAGAACTTTGACACGAAAGTAATAGGAGACACAGGGTTTCTGGTAAGCGAGGGCTTGATGTTAGCCTTCAAAAGAAACGAACAGATAGAAGAACCAGAACGAGGGAGGGGAGCCACTATAGAGGAGTTAGAGGATGATGAAGTGGATGACATAATCTGGATGTAATACAGCAGTGAGTAAAGGGACCCGTTTGCCATGAGAATCGCCCCTGTACTAATTTATTGAAGGGTGGAGGGTATAAAGAGGCAATATTAGAAATAAGAAAAAGGGAACGTAGGGAAATAAATATATAAAATAGGGGGAGAATAACACACTGGAAAGAATATGGGTGGGAGGATAGTTAGGCATAGGACCATCACCATTTCATGTGTCTTTCAATACCCAGGTTTAGGTTTACCGAAACATTATGTGGAAGCAGATGAATGAACAAACCATGGAAATGATTATCGAGGATACGGAATCCAGGGACTCGATAATCATATCAAGAAGGGAGCGAGAGGAAGAGGAAAGAGAGCCGAGAGGGGAATCGAGTGGTGTGCCGACGAGGAGGGAACAGGAAAAGGAGAAGGAAGAAGAGGAGGGGACGGGGAAAAAGACGCTGGCAATGAAGCTAGTAGATAGAGAGATCACGTGGGAAGCGGGCCATTATATTTTCGATACGTTCCTGAAGAGATCAATAAAATTAAGAAGAAAGTTCTTACTCCTTCGTTGGGGGGTAAAGAATGGAGGGATACTATTCACGACAAGGTGTATAAAAACATACAAATTAATGAGGGAGGAAGTAGACAAGGGGATATCATGGAGG